TACGGCTTCTCACAGTTCTCCATACAGTAGATGCACCAAAAGTGACTGAGCCAGAAAGCCTGAGAACCACCAGGTCACTATGCACCTTAGGAGCCTGGTTATTTTAGTTTCTTAAAAATAAAGACAATGGTAAACAAGCTTGCTTTTGCAACCCTGCTTACCATTTTAACATATTTCTAAAATTTCATGCTTCCAAATACATTGTACGTTCATCATAAACTGAACTTTAACTTCTGCCGAGGGCCGAGCCCTGGAAAAAAACAAAACTGACACAGTTATCTTAATGTTAAGTGGGTGGAAGCTGATATATATAGTTCTACAGGATACACATATGATCATATCGTCTGCATCTGAAAATCTGCTTCAACACGTGATTCTGTTCATTTTGAAATGAGGAGACAGGGACCAAGTATAGAACCCTTTGGGGCCAAGAATAGAACCCTGTGGGTCTCCTGTTTCACTCTAAGAAAATGTACTTCTTGTTCAGGATTTGAACCTTGGTAGAAGTTTATCAGAGAAGTTATATTTGGAAAGTTTATAAAGTGGAATATCATGGTTCAAAAAGCCATTTCGCATGTCCCTAGCATGCATGCAGCATACAATGTTGAGGTTACAGAAATTCAGACTCTAATTTAGAAGAAAGGTAAATCCTCTGACACTTTTCCCTTCACTACAAGCCAGAACTTCAATTCAATTCAATTTTATTTGTATAGTGCCAATTCATAACAGAAGTTATCTCCGGACACTTTTCAATCCAAATAGAGCAGGTTCTAGACCGAACTCCTTTTTAACATTTACAGAGACCCAACAGTACCCATGAGCAAGCACTTGGCGACGGGGGCAAGGAAAAACTGCCTTTTAACAGGCAGAAACCTAGGACAGCCCCTTGGTCCGGCCTAGTGGCGTGGTCATCTGCCTTGACCAGTTGGGGGAAGAAAGAGAAAGAGAGAGCAGAGAGAAGAGAGACAACAGAGGAGAAAGAAAAGAACAGGAAAGAACAAAACAAATGTAAAGCAACAACTACATTAATAGTAATGATCGATGACGATCATGAAAAAGACGATGACGATGACAGCAGCAACGATGGGGGACAGCGAGCAGCGACAACAGTAACAACAGTAACTGTAGCAATCTAATCTAGATCAGCATTTAATTGCACAACATTAATATTATTCAAATATTTAACATCCCAAACCAAATAAAAACACCAAGAGACGTATCTAACCGGCCAGCTACGTTAAACATACCCAGCCCCACCAATCTTAGACACTGTGTGACATCAGGGGACGCCCAAGAAATCAGAATCTTTGCTGAACAATATGAGACACACCATCATGGTCCTTAAATCAAATACTAAGAATCTCTCAGTGATTATGATTCTTAGTCGGTGCACCCAGCATCAAGAGCACATAAATATGCCATTAGGGGGCCTCAACAGCCAATGTACTGCATGCAAAAATCTTAATTGTTAAGTAACTAGTAACTAAATCTAAATAACAGATAAATGTAGTGAAGTAAAAAGAAGAATATTTCCCTCTGAAATGTAGTAAAGTAGAAGTATAAAGTGGCATGAGTTGAGAATACTAAGTGAAGTATTAATACTTGAAATTTGAAATTTCGTGTATTAGATTTAGAAAGGAGCATGCAAATAAAAGAAGAAACAACAAAGTAAAGCACAAATAAAGCAGAGTAAGTAAAGTAACCAGATAAACTAGTTACATTCGGCAGGGGATCGATGAATATTGTTCGGAGAGCTTCACCTATATCAGTTGGTCCGACGGCAGGAAGGAACTCTGAATTGTTTTGGGAATTTAAATCAGAGGAAAAAAAAGATTCAATCAACTAACATTTATGCAAAAAAATGTCTTTCTCCTTTATTAATCTCTGGCAGCCATAGGCAGTAAAGTGTAATAAGACCAGTCACCTTGTGTTGTTCCTCTGCAGTATTTGAATCGCCAGCGATAATCCCTGTCAATAAAAAACTACTTGTAACACTTAGGATTGGTTAAATGCAGAGAACAAATTTCCGTCTGGGGAAAAACAAAAGACAACATAACTGATGTCAGTAAACTTACCCATTGTTGTTCTTGTTATGGGAAGAGATGCCTGTTAGGAAGTTGCCATCAGGGACGTACCAGTGGAAGTCTTCATTCCAGTAGTTGACCATTGGAGTTTCCTGGCATTCAGATGTGATCAGTTTTTCAGCAGAGCAGCAAAAGAAACTCCATCTGAAACAAGATCAGATCAAGAAAATCATCATAGATTTTTAATTTGCCTTCACTGAAAAACATTGAAAGCAGAAAGGTCCAGTGTTAAGGATTTAGTGGTATCTAACGGTGTAGTTGCTGATCACAACGGTGGCCACGGAAAACACTAATGTACCTATTTGCATACAGTGTTTGGTTTGTCCGTTCTGGGCTACAGTAGAAACATGGCGGTTCAACATGGCGGACTCTGCCAGAAGAGGACCCGCTCCCCATGTAGATAAAAACGTGTCATTCTAAGGTAACGAAAACACGATGATTATTTTTTTTTAGGTGATTATTTACTAATGAAAACATACCTATGAATATTTTATTATATTTCTGACAATAGATCATCCTTAACATTACACACTGGACCTTTAATATTTAAAAAAGTAATGACACTATGAAATAACAATTTATATTAAAATAGCACCAGTCCACCTTAACATGCTGTCATGAAGACGTTTGTAGATGATTAGACCTCCGCCTGTGTGGAAGCCTGTAATTTTTCAGACTCAATCAAAAATCAAATGGGTTGGGTTAGACAGGCTTACATTAACGCTTCAAAATGAATGACACATTTATCAGTTTAATATTTACATGTTAGCATTTATGTTAAACACATTTGTAAACATTAATTTACAAGTGGAATTAGTACAAGCAACAAGTATGGATGTGTACGAAAATAAAATCTCAGTTGTAATGAAGTATAACTGCGCGTAGATATTGTTTAAATTGAAATTCCTACAATAATTTATCATATAAATTTAAATGCATAATTTCAAAAAGCTACCAACCTTCTGTAGCTCACGTACTCGCTCCAGATGCCAGCAACCACATGATTTTTTGGGCAATCGAAGATGAATTCTTGGTCATAAGCATTGATGATACCTGACCAGGAGCAATGTTTGATAGAGTCCAAAGCCTTGCATTCAATCTTCCATTGACGATCATTGTGAGTGGGACTGTGGGAGCTTAAAATCAAAATATTACCAGTAAGTAAGTACCAGTAAAATATATATCATATAAAGTAAATATTAATCAAAGCTGAAAGCGGTGGTGTTGCCAATAGTGTATGTTCAGGCTGAGACTCTTAACAAACATGATGTTTTGGCAAATTGAACATCCAAGTTACAACAACTTGTCATGGTGAATCATCAAAATCCGATGCCACATCACGGACACCCCTTACATCGCTTATATCTTTAGATCAAACTGACCCAATTAAGTCAATCCCATCACTTCTCCATGAAGAGTCTGTAAAAGTACAAAGCCTGAAAATGGTAAAAAAAAAAACAACAACTGCAGAACAGAAAAGAAAACAAACAAACAAAATGACTTCCTGTTGGTTTAAGTCTGGAACTGACACACGTGCCTGTTGATTTTTGTACATCTCAGTGAAACAGGCTGCCAGGGCTTTTTTGTTTTCCACCTCTGACACGTGTCACGTTAGAGTTTCGGAATACAAATAATTTGCATTTACAATAAAGCCTGTCAGTGCTCGGGCCTGAAACAGATTAATGTGGAGAATCACAGAGAAGTTTCATCTTAATGTGTAATTTACCTTTTAATCTGAGACACAACATGCCTTCCTGGACAAAGACGCAACAAAGTGTCTCCAAGAGCATCGTCATGGTCCTGTGCTCTGTGTTCAGCTGCAAACAACATGTAGTTAGAATGGATTATCAACATAATACAAAGTCTTTATAACAGCTATTGCTTAGACAAGTGCTGCCGGCAGGATTTTAAGGTAATTTGGCCCTAATCTTTACAAAATGAATACACACTTTATACTCAACTCCTTTACTGTCAATTACAAATGAGAGTTTGATGTTTTTTACCTGTCAGAATAACTAAAACCACGATGAAGGTCCACATTGTGTCTGGTAACCTGTGAGCAGACTTACACTTGTGATGAGGAAATGGTGACACCACACCTTATTATGTAGGCGTGTTCACACGTTTACACACCAAACAGCAGAGTGTTCAAAATCATCTTCTCTTCTAATGCCAAAGATACCTTTTTCATCTGATGAATCATAAATCCAACATGTTCGTCATAGCTGTCACAGCAGAGAGAGAATGAAAAGTTATTTTCTCAAATCGTAACCTAAAGCGCAACAGTCAATGTGTAACAGAGGTAAACAGCTGGGAAGTGGATGTTGTAAATGTTAAACTTTTACAACAGCTTTATTGTTGTAATTGTTGCTTTCTTTGCAACAGCAGGCTCTTCTGGAGTTAAAGGAGGCTGTACACCTGGATACAGTAATATCTGAACACTCTAAAGTCCACGATGGCAAAGGTATCCAAATCACACTAGGAGCAAGGCTGGAACGCTGAACAAAGAGCACAGATACTGAGTACACAAGGGAGGAACAGGCAATAAGGAACAGGTAATCACACAGAAACAGGAAGTAAAGTGTCTGCAACGAGAAACAATCCGAGTACATCAAAATAAAACAGGAAATGGTAACTGAAAATGGAAACGAGGAAAACAACCTTGGACAGGGAGTGTGACAGTTAATTATACATTTGGTTTTTAGAAGTGAGTACTGGGGTGGCCGTGCCTCAGTAGGTAGACTGCGTAGTCCACCAAAGGTCGATAACATTAGACTGCCTGTGACCCAACTTAAAACTTTAACGTTTTGCCTGTTTTATGTTGTTTGTGTTCATTTATTTATCCTGCTGAACTTTGCTTTAGCATGTTGCTAAGCAGTTACTGCCTGAAGCTGGGGGATGTTGGACAAATTGAGGGACAGTTGAGAGAAATTGTGTGGACGTTAAACCTCTTAATAATGAGTGTAATAGGTTGGATGCCAGTAACCAGTGCTTCCAACCAATCGATTGGTTGGATAGTCGGTAGAATTTCAGTCGACCAAGATTTCTGTGGTTGATTACGGCCCTGTGTTCAATATTTGTGCTTAAATTTGATGAGTTTGTAAAGATGTGTTCACATTGCAATAGAAGAGTCTGTTTCTGTTGAGTGTTAAAAGCTTAAATAATCCACTGCGCTATATAAAAAAATGTTTTATAGAGGGACTCCAGGTGTGCCAAAACAATCCAGCAGGTGTAGACAAACACTGGGACGTTTCACAATTGCTTCCTCGGTGCCCGATGTCGTGCTGAATGACAGTTAATCCTACTATTAATATTCCACCTGCATGTGGAAGATGGCTTGTGTCCAGTTTTAAACACAGCTCTCAACCATTAGTCATCAATTACATCTGAAAAAGCATGCAACACAAAAAGAGCCAGAGAGGTGACACATGCTAGTAATAGCTTTCAGAACCAGAAGGAACTCATTGGCTGTGTTGAATATGGTTCGCTGTCATTCGGTGGGGAATCTGCTGCTGTAATTCAGTGAGAGTCACTTACTGGTATTTAGAGACATCTTCCTGACATGTGGGCTCAAACTGGTTTTGTGTAATTAATAGGTCACACTAATATTCAGCAAGCCTTTAATGGATAAACAGGAGCCAACAGAAACTCATGTGACAGTTAGTTATCCTTTAATGACTACCGACTTTATTTAGCCTCCACTACATGTGGCTACACAAGACAAATTCTACATTTTAAATTGGTAGACAAAGTATATTACCTTTAAAAAAAAATTAAGATCAAATAAGTTTTTCATTTGGCAACTTAAATGTCAGATTTACACCAGATCAAATTACATATTGTATCCAATGGTACCGAACATTAAATAAACTAAATATTACATTTAAATATGTAGCAGTACTGATTCAACAGATCTCATCTGTCAAATAAACCACAACAAACACCACAACTAGAATACAGTAAAAACACATCACATAAAGGGAAAGTCTATAAAAATGGGTTTTTAGTGATCATGCAGGTCATTCCAAAGCAGATGGGTCCTGATGGTAAAGGCATAGTCACCTTTAGATTTAACCCTCAGCTTTGAAACAGCCTGAAGGACCCACCTGAGGACCTGAGGCTATAAGTAAGTAAATACAGTAACACACAGCTCAGCAAATACAGTGTTGTATCACATTTTTCATATCTACATAGATACATTGCAGTAACACAAGAATCGATCCATGAATGAATGTTATACACTGACACATATATATATACACACCTCATCAAAGTATTAGAGTTAAGTCAGGTTCACATATAAAATCTTTCATCACAAAAGCCTGTTTCACCTGACTGAGAGCGACCTGATCTAATCTAGATCAAACAACAAACATTATTCAAATATTTAACATCCCAAATGCTATAAAACAAACCAGGAGAGAGAGATTGCACAAGACATGAAACACAATGTACCAACATATCTACATTGCCAGCTACACTAAACATACACAGCCCACCAACCTTAGACGCTGTGTGACATCAGGGGACAACTCCAAGGAAATCATTGAGCCTTTGAATCAACACACTGAGACCAGTTTCTGTGTTCAGGCCATTATTAAAGAAAATAGCTAGAGGCACTTTGTTAATGATCTTACATCAGCACTTCTGATCTTTATGAATGCTGACCATCATTTGCAGGTGGTGGAGATAGAAATCTATACATTTGTTCTACAGTTTTTCCTTTTCGTTCAACCAGTTGTGCTCATAAAAAATGCATTTCAACAGCATAAAATATATCCTTCATTCTTACTATATCATGCATTTGGTGCACAAAACAAATGCTAAGAATCACTTAATGGTCTTTCTGGTGATAATCTCTAAGAACAAGTTTGCTTGGTGAGTTACAGACAAACTAGGAAAGGTCTCACAGACTGGAAATGTTGTTAATTTGATGTATTATACTTACTGCAGTCGTAAAGTTTGTTGAGCTTCAGAATGTCATTTTCTGACATGCATACCCTTTGGCCTATTTGTGCTGGTGGCGCAAGGGAGTGATGGTTTCCTGTCTATTCTTTGAGAAGTCCTTTGGTCCATAATGAATAATGGAGGAGTAGTCATATGGGACATTGAGGTTGTTTGTTTGCAATTGTTCGAAGTTATCTACTTGTTTGTCCTGGATGTTTTCACAGTTGATCTTGACGTAGATGTCCCTGTCGGTCGTACTCTGCTCATGCCAGAAGCCGAGTGCGTGAATGAACTCATGCTGGATGATGCCGTTTTGAATGCATCCGTTACCGAGAGATAACTGCTGAGGGCCTCCAGTTTGCCACCAAAACTATTATCATAGTCTTGTGCTCTGTGTTCAGCTGCAAACAACATGTGGTTAAAAAGGGTTAATAGTCAGGCACCCAGTTAGCTCAGTTGGTAGAGCTGGTGACCCATATACACAGCAGCCTGGGTTCGAGCCTGACCTCCAGCCCTTTGCTGCATGTCATCATCTCTCTCTTCTCCCCTTTTCCTGTCTCTCTCCAGCTATCTCTATCAAATAAAGGCATAAAAAATGTTTTAAAAAAAGGGTTAATAATCATCATCAACATAATAGAAACATAGCATTTTAACAATAATGACAGGTGCTGAACCACAAAGTGCTGCTGGCAGGATCTTCAGGTAATGCAGTCCTAATCTTTACAAGGGTATACACATTATATGAATAATAACCCTTCTCTAAGCACTTCATAGTGTCAATTACAAATGAGAAGTTAATGTTCTTACCGGTCAGAAGGACGAAAACCACGATGAAGGTCTACAATGTGTCTGAGTGTCTAACCTGTAAGGAGACTGATTCACTGACTGCAGGTGCTGTAATTTATACGCTTGTGATGAGGAAATAGTGACACTACGTCTTCATCTGTGGGCGTGGTGGCACCTTTAAATGAACACGTGTATTTCAATCCTCATAACGGAGCTATGTGTTGTAAACAAAAATATTCATAATGATTTCTTCTCATGCCAAATATACCTGTTCCATCTGATGGCTTACATAATAATAATGTTCCTCATAGCTGTCAGGTTAGTTACCGTAACCACTGTGTGATGAGATTAAAAAAAATCCCAGCACCAGATTACACCAGCTGTTGGGAAATATGTCAGTGTTCAATTGTGTGATTATGTAATTGTGTAAATTAGGCATCACCTTTGAAATGCTGCATATGAACTCTTATTGTTATTTCTGCACTGCGGAGAGATAAAGTCACAGGGGAGGAGGTCCTGCTTCGATACACCTTCACCATCAGTGCTTGAACATGGTATTATACTTAATGTCATGCTTTGTACGAGAAGAAAGTTATTTTATCTGAATATTATTTATAATTCCAATAATAAAAGGTGTATGGTTGGTCAAGTGGCTAAGACAGAAAAACTAGTGGAAACCAAAACTCCTGTGCAACAACATGTACAGTTCAAAAACTAAAAAAAGACTCTACACTAGGCTATTCCTCTTAATGCCCCTTTAACTCTTGGGCCCTTGGACCTCCTCCACACTGGCTTATCTCTGACAACAACTGAACCCCCAGAAACTCCAGCCTCTTCTTTTATATCAGTTGGGTCCTACTGGGAGACATTGACAATAATCAATTATCCCACAGAAGATTTACACCTGGTCCACACAACATCCACCCACAAGCATTGGGGTTGGGTGCTCTGCAAGCCATCGGTAGGCAAAGGCGGGGATTTACGTGTGCTCAATCACGGCATCAAGCAATGTCACTTCTCTGGCAGGGAAGGAACCAGAACTGATGCAGGAGGCGGAGTGGTACCAACTAGATACAGTTGGGCTTAGCTCTATACATAGCGCTGGTTCTGGAACCAAACTAGACTCTCTTCTTTTCTGGACAAATGTGGGGGAGAAGTGTTAGGCTTAGAGTGCCGCTGTGTTGGACTTTTCCCCAGAGAACAAGAGGGTCACCTCTATGGGACTGTGGGAAAGGCTCTGACTGTTGTTTGTGCTACAGACGAGTCTGAACTAAGCCAATGAGCGCCACTTAACTCGCAGTACATCACCGCTGCCGGCTCCAGAAAACCAACATGGCTACGGTTAAAATGCAGAACTTAAGGCTTCAAAATAGTCCTCCACAGACCAGTGAG